AGAAGATAATTTTAGTAATTTATTCATTAAAAAATCTGAATTTTTTTTTCGTCTGCCAAAAGAAGAAATTTTTTTTTCTTTTTTTTTTCAAAAAATACATAGAAAAAGTTTTAATTGCTTTTTTTTTCACAATTTATTTGCCAATTTCAAAGCAAGGATTTAAAAATATACTTTTGATAGTATAAAATATTATATAGAATTAGATAGCATATAAAACGAAAAATATATCTCCTATAAACTTGTCAGTAATAATCCATGACTAATTATAATTTCAGTTGATCATTCTGTATCCAATTCGATGCCCTCATTTTTCGCAAATCCATTTATGACCCCGTTCATGCCTCAACAACCGGCACCAGCCGCAACAGTGGATGCGACGACCACATCATTTCAGCCTTCTAGTAGGGAAAATGTTGATTTCCAAAGTAATCCATTACAATCTGATCATTACATGATGCAAAGTTTACAATGCCAAGAGATGATGCAACACTATATTCAAAATTTGATGGCTGCTGCATCACGTCTTCCTACTAATATGCTAAACGATGGCATCATTCGGGTCAACTATACATTTTTAATTTTTGATATCAGTTAGGTATTCAAAACTTTGTATTGATTTAAATGATCCTAAAACTTGAATTAGCAAATTTTTTGGTCAGTGGATTGAAATTAAGTACAAGTCCTTACTTGTGTAAAGTTGAAGTAGGCAACGAAGTTTGAAAGTTTGTCATCCATTTCATCTCTTTTTTTGGTCAAACTTGTAATTGAAACCAGAAAAAAACATATTATTTAAGTTTTTGTATTCTTCAAGCTTTTGATTTTTTCTATCGTAATTATTTTTTGTTAAAGAAATGAATATTGATGTTGTTACGTTGGAAAATAAAATGAATAATATATTCCCATTAGTTATTTTCAGGTTTCAGATGATGGGCAAGAGCAGTCGACTATATCTGATGATTCTAACAGGTTTCACGTAGACTTTCCAAATGCATTACCGGCTTTAATTCAAAGTTTGCAACAGAAATTGTATCTTAATAATCCGGTTGTTACTCAATTTGTGAATCCAGTCCCAGTAGATCGTGTTTTATCGAGACCTTTGGGATCCTCTACCTCGACATCTTCTTCTTCCTCAGCATCAGTACCATGTGAGGTAATTGAGAAAGTAGCACCACCATCTCCGCCACCGCCATCTTTAACTTCTGAAGAACTTCCTGAACAAGTTAATATTTTATTCTCTTTTACATCTGAAATCATTTATTGCACAAATTTTTGCATCATAGCTTTAATTCATCACTCTGCTCAGTGATGTTGAATGAATATGCTTGAATTTGTTTGATAAAAGTAATAAAATATATATGAGAGTCGAGAACTGAATTTTAAATGAGAAATAAAATATTTTTTGTGATTGAAAATTTTAAAAATGTCACATTAATACAAAGAAAAAGTCTCACACTAAGTTTCCAAAAAGAAAACTTTATAATAAATTATTCGAGCAAGCAAGTAATTTGTTGAAAATCCACTAAAAAAGTTCGTAAATTTTAAAGATTTCATTTCCATCTCCATTTCTTATTTCTCAGTACTGAACATACAGCTTACAATTATTATTATTAAAATTGCTTGATAAGTGTTTTAATGCTATCATCAATTAAACTAGACTTTTTTCAATAAAAAGGGAGCAATTATATTCCAACTAAATCTTACTTTTAATTTTTATTCTCTTTACAGATTCCTGAAGCATGTCGTGAATGCTCAGATTTCGTAGAAGAAAGGAGGGTTAGTTGTCACGTTGAGGAGAACACGGATTTAACGTCTGACGGTGACAAAGCAACAAATAAATTGCCTAGTGAGTTAATTTCCAATAAAAAACTTTTCGACGATATTTTTTTAACGAGTTATATTTTCGATATTCCTTTGTATAGTTTGCAAAATGGTTCTCATGTTAACCCAATAAAAATGCAAGACCTTGATCGTAAATAGTTCTTTTCAAAGCGTTTTTTTAACATCCTACAAACATAAATTTGAGTGTTTTCAGGCCACAATGTTGTTCGATCAGAAGAACAAGAAGTCAAACCGATTCCTACCAATATTGCTGAAGTTAGATTGAGAATTTCTAGTGAAAAAAATATTTTATATCAAGTTTAATTTTAATTATTTTTAATCAAAAAAAAATATTTACGTTCAAAAAACTAATTTTTTAGTCTCGAAGAACTATTTATGTGCAATTATTTTTCGTCTAAGATTATTGAATTTGCTTATCTATACACGAATATTTGTACTGAAAATTTTCAGGACAAGAAAAACGACCATTATACAGAAATTAAGGTATCAAGTAGTAGTGTTGCTAGTTGCTCTATTGGTACGGCTATTGATAATAATTATGCATTAACCGAGATGAATAAAGTAGAAAATCAAGAAAACTCTCATCAAGCACATGTACCGTCTGTAGATTTACCGAAAATTACTGAAGCAACCATATGTAAAACAACTTCATCGTCAGCTAGTACCGAGAAGCAGGAATCTTCATCTAATGCAAATAACACTTCTGTTAGTATTCAAGATGAATGTCGCACATCTGTTTTAATCAAGAAACAAATGAATGAAATTGATAAGGAGATTAACCGGCGAATTCAAAATCGAAATATCAAAAAGGTTTGTAATTTTAATAATTATTTTAAGTTTGCCCTTTTTTAATTGATAAAAAGCGCAGTTAGACGCTAATTAATTAAATTCGTAATTAGTTTAGTTGGAGATGAAGTGAAGCACATAATTTGTCTTCGGATCGTTAAAGTACTCGTTATTCACGAGAGTCAACTTTATGAAAATGCATAATTTAAGAAAACTTCATGCCAATTTTTTTTTCGAATTTCAAACATCCATAAACATATACATAGGTGGCATATAAATATCTGTCAATACTATTATATCTGGTAGATTTTAGGTCTGGAATAAATTTTAGTACCGTTTAAAACTGTCAAACTGAACAAAAATGGTTTAGCTGTTGAATGATATGATTTTTAAGATTTGTATAGGTGTTGTAAAATTATTTTTGATATTGACTGCTGCGATAAATCTTGTATGAATTAAAATGGTATTGAGTTCGATAATTTGAAAATTATCACTTAAAAATAATGATAATTGAAGTAGGAGTTCCAGATTGACTTTGTTTTCAGTTTTCGGTTTCAGATTGATGAAAAAGAGCTGGCTCAGCTTTTAAGTTCTACACATAGTTGTAGTGAATCCGCTAGTTCTTCTTGCCAACCAACACAAACTGTTTCAGCCAGTAGCATAATTCAGGTTATGAGAAATGTTTTGTGCATACCGTGGTGCTTTGTAAAATTTGGTAGCATTAATGTTGTATGATGGTGGTAGTTAATTGTGAAGTAATGCTGTCTATTGTTGGTTGAATCAAAAAATGGCATGTATTCTATCAAAAATAATTACATTTAGTGATAAATATATGAAAAAGCAAACATTTTTGTGGTAATTAATTTTGTAGTTAAAGTTATAAATTAAAATATATGCATTTGGCTGCGTTAATAATTCATTAAATAATTTTTCAGCTTCAACTTAGCTTGCTTAAAATTGTTTGATTTCCCATCATATTGTTTAAAAATTGGCTGGTTTCAAAAGTCTTATTTTATTATTGGATCTTCAACTTTATATATATATAAATCATACATGGCAGGAAACTTCTGTTATAGATTTTGAATAATGATTTGAATAAAAATCACATTCAGGAATATCATACTATTGATTATAGATCATAAGGGAGAAGTATGAAGTACGGGGAATTGTATATTACGTAAAAAATTTTATTGACTTATCGTTTACGATAATAGAAAGTATACTAAATTGAATTGCAGATAATTCATTCAATATACAAATTGTTTGATGTTACTTCTTAGTCAAAGTGAATTTTCATAAAATGAATTTTGATTTCTGATTACTAGAACTTTTTTCCTTCTTTTGAGTGTGTCTGTTGTATAGTTAGCATTTAGCTGAGTTCATCATTAAAAAATGCTTATATTATCACTGAAATTAGCATAAGCAGTGATCGCTTGATGTGGGCGAAAGTATTCGCAAATAATGCAACATGCAGTTACAGTAAAAAAGTTTGGGGAAAATTTTCATGAGAATGAGTGGTACTTTTGTTATTGCTATTTATGTATTTTGCTTATAAAAATATAAATTTTGTAAGGTTTATGGTATTTGGTTTTATTTTTAGACTTAGACAGAAATCATATGAAAATGATACGAAGAAAAAGCTTGAATTTTTATTTACATTTATTAATTATGAAAAGTGAATAGTAGTAGCAGAATCAGAAGCATGCATATTTGATATGTGATCATTCTGATAGCATTAATTGCTTTCATGAAACTCAACCTGTGTTATCTAATTTAACTGGTCAGTAACATGGATCATTGTAGCATTTTTTATTTTTCAATAAGGTGAAATTGTTTTAGCTATTTAATGCATAATTGCAGAGTGCTTTACCATTTGGTACCGCTGAACCGAATAAATCGAATATCACATCACCAAAGCCGACTTTAGAACAACTGCGCAATTCATTTGCTTTACCGGTAGTATCCAAGGATTGCAACACATTGCCTTATCAAGCATTATCTCCAGCATATCATCAAGAATATTATTCTCAGCAACAAAACCAGCAGCAACTCTTCCCACCATCACTCTATCTAAATTATCATACTGAATCTTCGGAAAATTTTGTTCGCGCACAATCTCAGAATCAATCTTCTCTCTCTTTACCGACAACAATGGAACAGCTAACGCAAGCTGCTGCCGCAGCTCTCGGTGCGATTCCACAATCTTATCCTCAATTTCAGCCGTATTTTCCAAGTGCAACTTCAGCAGCACGCCCACAGTCCTTCTGTTTTCCTGGAGCTCAGCAACACGTTACACCGCAAGTAATTCTAATGCTATAAATCATTTTTAGAAGTTCTTCTTGATCATATGGTGGAATATGAGTTTATTTATATCTTTCGTCCTTACTATTTAAATCGGAAATGAGCAGTAAACATAGGAGCTCATGTTACATAAATTTTCTGAATTTAGAATGCATATTCGAGAAAGCACAATTATTCCAAGTATACATATTGTAATATTTACATTTCCAAATTTAAGACTTCAAGAAATGCATAGTTAAAATTACTTTTTCAAATGTAGTCAATATTATCAGCATTAATTTTATCCCTTAAAATATGAAATCTTGAGTTTATTTGAAAAATTTTACGGAACAAAAATAATTATTAATACCATTATTTCAAATTAAAAATTGCCAGTGAAAAGTTACTTATTGTGTCTAATTTTTGTAGTTGGCAGCAGCAATCTTACAACAGTTGCAACAAAGTCAGGCACTTAATATGTTTCCGACTACTACAAGTTTTTCGTTTCCATCCGCACAAACACCGGTATCTATTGATGGTAGTAATTTTCACATGAATCAAACTCAAGGTCAAGAATTACCATTCAGTATGCAAATGAATAGCGGCATAGCATCAGATGCTCCAAATAATATTGCTAACAACATTTACGTGGAGCAGAAACTACCACCACCGCCACCTCCAGCAGCAGCAGAAGATTCTTCGCTTGCATCTATATCTAAATTAAGGTCCAAAGCACCATGTCATCAAAATAACGTTGAAGTAGATAAAGTGAAGAACGTTAATTGTCCTCAAAAGGTATGTTGACCAAAATTGAGGTTGATAATATTCCATAAATCTTTTGCTACTTTTCAGAAATTACATATCTACTTTTCATTGTAGTTTCCAAATCGACTTCATCTAGTTTCAGTCAGACTAATAAATGGAAAAAAACTGAAAAAATGTTGTTGTGGTGGCAATAAAACTCAAATAGATTTTATTGAGACAACCCTAGTGAACTAGTTTATTTATTGACAGCTGCTTGAAAATTTTTTATTTCACTAAATGTTCTTGCCTTTATTTGGTTAAAATTCAAGCTTAAATTTGTATTTTTCATGTTTTGAATCTTGGTAACGATGAATTCTTTTAATCACCTCATACCAGCTACCAGCATCGTTTTCTAATAGTATTAAAAGATAGATTTATTCCTAATTTAATTAAAATTGTGCATGATATCAGATTTCACCAAATAATTGGCCTGGTGAAACAGATTGGCTTGATAATAGCAAAGCAACAACATCCAGCAAAGACAATTGCCTTCCAGAGGAGAGTACTAATTCAGATGCTGAACCTATCTGGGTTATGCGGTTTGTTGTATTTATGCTTATTAACTCTTTTTTTAATGTATGTTTTCAGTTACTAATTTTTTATGAAAGAAAAATTCGAAAATATAGAAATTTTTTGATATGCTAAAACGTAAGAGCAATGATTTTGTTTGAATAGTGAAAACTAATTAGATATAAAGGTCATATTTAATTGCAGAGATTCATATTTAAAAAGAATTCAAAGAGAAGAAGATCGAAACAATAAAGAAATATTGGAAATTAATAAAACTACGGAGAGTACGTAGTTTTTTTAAATAATTTTGTGTTATTATTATTGTTTATTAAAATTATTAAATTAAATCTCAACTTTGATTATGTATTAATAATTATTCTTGAAATAGAAGCTGAGCTAATTGTGGAAGAAAATGCCAATGAAACAGAAAGTTTGCTATCAAAAGATGAGCAAGCAGTTGATGACAAATTGAAAACTAAGAAGAGCTCCAAAAAGGAAGGTTTGTTGAAAATTTTCAATTCTGTAGCTTTTACTTCAGTGTAGAAGCAATATTTAATGACTTGTTCAGAATTCATTTGCTTATTTATGTTTTGATTAGGAGAATATTTTGGAAATTAGTTCTGAATATAGACGCGATTTAAATCTTTTTAGGCACTAATAAATTTGATGGATCACTCCTTCAGCACATATATTATAGAGCAAATGACTGAGATTATGGACAAAATAAAGATTAGGCGAGGGAAAAAATGCTCTTCTTAAGGCTAAAAAATATTAAGCATTAGCATCCATCCATATTTTATAACATTTAGAGAAAGCAAAGAAATGAAGTTCTTATTTACAAAGTGGTAGAAATGAAATCAGTACTGAAGAAGTCAATGCTTATCTGAACTTTAATTACATGTGATAAGTTTTTTGTTTGATGTAAATAAGTTTGTTCGTATCTTTAAAATCAAATTATCCTGATTAAATTTGTATTTAAGTATCAATTAGCAAAAGAAATTAAGTATTATTTAACTGATAGAATTGAGTATTGAAGGGGAGAATTAAATTATACAAATAGCTAATGTTTTCTGTCAACTTCCAAATAATTTATAAATCAGTCCCTTTTCTCATGAATTTTTTTTCCGAAAATTTTCATTTCATGCTGATTTTAAATCAAATAACAGATTTTTGATTCTGTTTTCAAGCATTTTCAAATTATTTCTAACTAATTAATAATTTAAGTGCAATTATTCAGTTTTAATTAATTTCATCGTATAATTGCAGTAATGGTACATGAACCGGCAGTGCTCATTGAAGGTGTATTATTTCGAGCTAGGTATCTAGGTTCCACTCAATTACTCTGTGAGAGTAGACCAACCAAGACAAGTCGAATGATGCAAGCACAGGAAGCAGTAGCTCGTGTTAAAGTGAGGTTTTTGTAAAGTACTCATTTTAAAAATTTCAGTATTAATTAGTGTAATGTTTTTAACTTTATAATGTATTAGTTTTGTAACTGGCAAATTGTTATTTAGAATTTAAATCAGACAATTGTATCAGCAAATTTTTATAAGTTTATATTATTATGTTTATTTAAGGCACCTGCTGGTGAAATTCAACCGAGTACTGACATAGATTTATTTATTTCCACAGAAAAAATTATGGTATTAAATACCGATCTTCAGGTATGTTTGTATTTATATTCATATACAGTTACTAATATCTTTACGTTATGCTTTACTTCTGCAATTTTATTACAAGTATTTGTTCAAAAATTATTCCATGATTTTTGTCAGTTCGTGAGCAAAACCGTTCACTTAAGAATAATGTTATGAAAAATTGAAAGGGAAGTGACTATTATCTTTGAGATTGTAAAACTGATTCTGATTTTGACTTTCGTTTGATAGTTAAATTATCATTCGGAATGAATTAAAATATCACAAATTAGCGTTTTTTTTAAATGCTGGCACCTAATAGTTTCAAGTATTTCAGAGGATATCTGATACAGATGTTCGACAGGTGAGTATTATAATCGGAAACTGACTAATTAATTACTACTAATCAATTGCTTGAGCATTGTTTTTACGTGTTAAATGTTTTGTTTTGTAGAAAAAACATGAACTCATTTATTTTTATTTTTTTTACTTTTTTCTTTAGAGGAAAAATTTCAAAAATTTTTCTTCATATTTATTTATTTTTTGTTTCTCACCTAACTGATTTGCTAAAATAATAAGGAAACCTGTTAGTAAGTAAGGTATCTTGTTTGTTATCCATCATGCTTTTGCGATTGTAAGTGAATTGCTTGATGTATCATAAGTTACTAGGTTTGTTTATATGACGAAAAAAGTGTAGGCTTCATAACATAGCATGTAAGAAGAATATTACGCTAGCAAAACGTGTCTGCTGCGTCTGTGTCTACTTATCGAGAATAATCAAAAAGTAAAGAATTATGAGTATTAAAAATCCTTCAGTTTCTTTCTTAATTTTAAGAGACAATTTTTAAACGTAGTTTTGCAATCAGTTAAAATCTGGTGCAAATGTTAAAGTTAAGCACATTAAAGATCATGATATATTTTCTGGTAATTCTGAATTTGAATTCTCATTACAGATTAAAAATAGCGAGAATTTGAGTTTTTTTTTCGGTTGAGAGTGTACTGTAATCACATTTGTGTTTAGATTAGATCAGTTTCGCACATAAGGTGTGGTAGTTTGTATATTTGTGAATGGATTTAAAAGTTTGAGATTACTATTAGTCAAAGGTTTTGCATGATATATTATTTATTGTGTGTATTAAGACAAATGCTAATTACAATTAAGGTTCACTTTCCTTAATTATTTTTTAGGATATATTGATGGACCATGCATTGAGGACAATATCATATATAGCTGATATTGGTGATTTGGTAGTTTTAATGGCACGTCGAATGTCACAGCCATCTAAGGAAGAAACGTTTTCCGTAGGGTATGAAGCGTTTTGTATAATTTCAACTTTCCTGTATCCTACAATGATGCTAATTAAAGAAGCAGAGAAAAATTCATTCATTAAAATGCCCACAAGGTACATCAGTGATTCCTCCATGATTAAATGATTAGTAAACAATGATGATAAGAGATTTTGATATACTTCAGATAAAGTTATAGTAATTTGTCATGATTGAAGAGCAAAACAAAAGTTGCTGCTAATATGTAAGACAGGAAGGAACTTGAAAATGAATATAAAGTTGATATGAAAATAAATATGAAGGTTCTTTTGCTCATTTTGAATTATGACAGTGCAAATTTTAGCCTAACAATAATATTCATTGTACAGTAGAAAGATTGATTGAAAATATATTAATTATCAGTAATTTATTTTGGTTTAAAGTGAGTAATCATTACTTATATATTATGAAAAGAAAAAAATGATAATTGATACTAAAGTTTTATTTTAAGAGCAAGCACTATGGTTTAAACAAATTGAATGTTTCTGTTATAATTTTTGAACTGATTATTTTATAACATAAGTAGAACAAACTGTTTGCTCTTTTGCAGTTTTGTAGAGCATAAATGTGAGTGAGAGATTAATATCACTTGACATCTGTCTTATCATCCGAAATACACCCAGAATAATGTATCTATAGAAGTTTATCATGAATCGAATCTCAAAGTTCACATGAAAAGCATTAGAGATGTAAGGTTTTCAAAGACTAAACCTGAAAGAATTAGGTACTTATAGGTTGATTATCATTCATAATTGCAGAGGAACTATAATGAAAGTAAATTTAAGATGAAAGTAATCAGATTTACCATCAAATTTTGGAAAAGTTATTATAGAGTTATGTATGAAATTATTAATTGTGTTTGGCAAGGCCTTTTTTTAACAATTCTAAACATACTGAGGCGTCCAGTCTGTACGAATTATTCCAAAACATAATAAAAGTGTGTAAAAAGTCAGTTTTACTGAAATATCTAAAATGATATCTAAACACGTTTCACGTGGCACATACTTAAAAAAGGAACTAGTATTTGTATATCAATAGTGGTATTGTTAATACCGTCATTCAAAATTTAACTCATAAGCAGAATGAAGTGGACAGGAAAGGACGAGCAGAAAAATTACTTTCTGGTAATTAATATAATCTAATCGTCTTCACTTTTACTTGAAATTTTTGTGTCTTTGAGCGTATTTGGAATGTTGAATATTTTACAATAAGATAAAAAACTGCAGTTATTATTCAAATCTGTGAAATGAAATTTGAGATTAAGCAATGTGCTCGGTGGTTTTCAGTGCACCACGTGTTACATGTCATGTTTTCGAGTCCGATGAAGCATCGTTTATCGCACAGTCCATTGGGCAAGCATTTCAAGTTGCATATGTAGAGTTTTTACGTGCAAATGGTATTGATGACCCTTCATATTTACGTGAAATCGATTATCAGGTTTTTTATTATTAGTTTATTTTTATTGCTTTTTTGACTTACAAAAAGTTAAGTTTGATGAAAAATTATATATGAAGAAATGTTTTGCATTTTTTCTAGCTATATATAAATAAATTTTTTTTCAGGAAGTGTTGAATTCCCAAGAGTTATTGGGTGATGAATTGGAAATGTTTGCTCGAAAAGAGACTCAAAAAGACGTTGTAGTACCTAAGAAAGCAGGGGAACCGCTAGGTGTAGTAGTTGTAGAATCAGGTTGGGGTTCCATGCTACCAACAGTTATAATTGCCAATTTACAACCAAATGGAGCTGCTTCAAGATGTAGTCATTTGAACATTGGTGACCAGGTATGGAACTTATTTCTATAATATTCACAGAACTTAGACTTTTGTCTTTAATTATGCAGGAAAAAAAGAAAAAAAATTTCCATACATTATATGTTTTTTTAATACTCAAACTTTTTTAGTACTTTTTAATTCTACAGTAGCAGTTTTATATTCACTATAGTTACTTCATTCTGATATTATTATTTCCATATATTCCATTTGTAGATAATCGCGATTAATGGTATATCTTTGGTAGGTCTTCCGTTAGCATCAGCACAACAAACAATTAAGGTATAATTCATTTATTAGATATAAAAGCTTTATTTACACCTAATTTGTATTTTGTATTTATTTTTGATTTATATTCAATCTTCAAAATTTCCATTTTGTAACCTGAGTTCGAAATAGGTGTAAATAAGTTAAGAGATTTGTTAGCATTTTCAGGCAACACGAAGTTCTACAGCAGTAAAGTTGACAGTTGTTTCTACACCACCAGTTGTTGAAGTTCGAATTAAACGTCCTGATACAAAATATCAGCTTGGTTTCAGTGTACAAAATGGAGTGGTACAAATAATTTACTTTTATTTTTTAGTAAATGTTGAAAAATTACTTTTTATTGGCTTCTGGATTACTTTCAAGTGCAGCAAGAAATTTTTGAATTATGACTCTATCTAAATGAACATTTAAAATGTACTTTTTTACACTTAATTGTATTTTAAGTTACAAACCTTTTTATTTAGAATGCAAAACGTAAATAATAAAAATCCCAAGTTTCGAAAAAACCTATAATTAAATAAATGTAAGATATCTAATAAAGATTGTAATTGTTTTTATTCTCATGTTTATATTCCAGATTTGTAGTTTGTTACGTGGTGGTATAGCCGAACGAGGAGGAATACGTGTAGGGCATCGAATCATTGAAATTAATTCACAAAGTGTCGTTGCTGTACCACATGAAAAAATCGTAAACATGTTAGCATCAGCAGTCGGTGAGATTCATATGAAAACAATGCCTACATCAATGTTTCGTCTGCTCACCGGACAAGAAGTGCCAAATTATATTTGATGAACTTTGACCTTCTACCGCATTCATAGTGTTCAATCAATAATGTTATTTGTGTTTTTTCTCCTTTGCGTTACTTATTACTAATGAGAAAATGTATATTAATCTAATAGCTATTGATTTTTAGTGATTTCAGAAATAAAACCTCTTTAGTGAATTTTCTTTCCATTTCTTGCTTATCATTCTTAATCTTTGATTTGGCCGAAATAATTTCCGACACAATCTAAATAGCGCTGCAATTCGTCTCGTCCGTTACTTTTATGACGATTTCTCGCGTTAAATATCGAAAACACTTCAGTATAAAATGAATTATTAATCCCACATTTAATTTAAGAATGGATTCGCGCCTTCATTTTCCAGAGTCACCCTTATTTAATCTTTGTCTTCTCATATGACAATTCTATCATATGATAATTTGCCGTATAACCCCATCAACCATGTTCTCCTTACAAAATACTCATATCAATGAACGATGCCGTATAGAGTCAAAAGCGATCGGTCGTAAACAGACACGTACGTAAGTTATCACAAAGCCAAAACCTCCGAAGCTTGAAATACTCCGCAACATGTATCAGAAAATTCTAAAAAACCAGAACTAACCACCTGCTTTACAGCTCCCCGTGAAATATCACGCCTTCAGTTAGTTCTTAAATTTTACAAACTGTCCAACAAGCTATCGCTTTGTATACATACATTTTCGCCTACCTCCTCTTGCAGGACAAATCCCCATTTTTTAACTGACTTCCACCATAAAATCATTTATCTGTGACATTTCAGTTTTTCTCCTCCTTATTATAGTGATAGTGATAAAATGGCCCATATTTTTATCAAAAACATGCCATAGCTACATTAGGAACAATGAAGTTTAAACAATATTTTAAACAGTTTACTATATAAGTAGTAGCTGATTAGTATAGTTCTATTTTATAGAATGAAAAGACAATCTAGCATAGAAAAAATCAGCGAAAATTTATTAACAGGCTCGGAAACGAGCACTTATAAATTTCTGCGTTTTTTAAAATGTGAAAAGAAATAGTATCAGTATTAATACACTATAAACAAAGTAATGAAAAACATATACAAGTGCTTGATTAAAAAGATCAGATCAATTTAGAATTAGATAAGATCTGAACTTTGTTTTTTCGATTGGAAAATTATTCTGTAATATAATAAATGTATTAGTGGGTAGTCTTCCATGAGAACTACTTAATTCACGGAATATTTTTAACATTTCAGGCTTAGTGCATATAAAAAAATCCAATTTAGGAAGTTTTTAATTTTTTTTCAGGATAATAAAAACAATTTTTACAGTTTCGCAGGAAGCCTTCTCATGAGATAGCAGCATGATGACTTGAAGATAACTTAATGAAGGCATTTCAAGTATTCTTTAAGGGCACTACTTATCGGTAACGTCATAATGCATTCTTCAAATTTTGAAGCAAACTTCACAATATCTTCTTGTTGCCGATTACGATCTGCTATCCGCGCCTCTTCGAGCTTTCTTCCCCTTTCATTTCTGAACTTTTCTATGCCCAACTAAACAATAAGGATACAAATTTAATGAAGTTCGAGAAGAAAATGTATACCAATGACCTGTTGATGCTTATAAAAATTCCAAATCGTATCTCAACTCTCAAAATTGAATAACGTGTTATGATAAAAAGTTTGATCCTTATGACTGATTTTGTAAATTTATGAAAAGAAATTAAAGTTTAAAACTTGAAGAATTTTACATTACAATTTCAGAATCATACGAGACTTCTCAAGACATAAATCGATTATACTTGGAGATCAAGAAGAGCAGTGCAGTAAAATTAGCACTGAAATTTTAAGTCTACTTTTATAGTCAGATCTCAGTGTCAAAGTAGCTTCATGTTCCGCAATACTGTTATGTTCTCAAACACTACTCCATTATTTCTATATCAAACGAAAAGTAACCTTTAGCCTACAGGAGCAAACAAAACGTATCATTAAAAAAGCTGAAAGATAAATGATTACAAAATTGAATCCATAATGGTGTATGGTACACGAAAAAAAAAACACAAATCACTCTGCTTCAAGCTCAAAATACTTATGACAATTTTTTATCGTACTGACTACATCATCTATTAGAATACAAACTTTGATAGACTGCTAGAAAATTAAATACCAAATCAGCAACGTAAAAAAAGAGAAAAGCATACCTGATCTCCTTCGGTTACTGTACATACGATCCTTGGTGTATCATTACATCCCAAAAATTCAACAGGAGATCTAGAATATCCATCTTCTTGATCTTCAGAATCACTAGATGTGTCGTTAGGAGCATTACTATATTCATCATCCTCTTCTTCCACCCCATTTTCATCTTCATTATCATCATCTTCAATTCCATACACATCTTCAACTTCAACTTCATTCTCATCATCATCTTCGTCTTCATCATCATCTTCGTCTTCATCTTCATCTTCATCTTCATCTTCAACTCCATCTTCATCTTCATCCTCATCCTCATCATTCTCTTCCTCATCTTCATTAATACCACTTTCATTATCATTTCCATCTTTATGTGCAAGCCCTTCATCATCGCCTTCATTTCCATCATTATAATCGTCGTCACTATCACATTCTTTAGAAACATTACGAAAGTTGTAAATAACACTGTTATAGTCACTTCTATCACTCATACCGTGACGAGGAGCCTCCAAATTTAAACATTTATTTTGCTCTTTATCAGTCGTTACACATGGAGAACTAAATGAAGAAGGATCATTCGCTCCACAACAACTGGTTGAAGCATTTCGAGCTGTCATTATGTCTGATCCATTGGTACCATAAATTACATCATCAACATAAGTTTCAAATTTCCGATTAATTTTACTTAAACGTTGAAGTTCTTCACTCTGGTGCTCATTATCAAAATTAATGCCCTCAAAGTGTCTTTCAAGCGAAACTCGCGGCGAAAATTGGCTATCGTTGAGCTGAGAATCAGTTTCGCTCCCTTCGTATGTAGTAGAATTTAAGACATCTTTTACTTCTATGCCTTGCTCTAACATATCAGCACTAAGCCCTGAATTAGAAGCAGTTTTGTCCGACAAATCAGAATCATTGGTTGATAATTCTTCTGAATGCATCGTCTTTGCGTGATCAACAAAATACGCCCCTATATTAAGAAGTTCACTGTTATCACTGATGCGTCGTTTAGCTTTCGAACTGCTTTCACCATCTTCCACCCTAATATTTAAAAAACTGATTAAATTAAAATTGGCAATTCATGCTTAAATTTTATCCTCCGAGATTGTTTACGAAAATTTCATCAAAAACTTACAATGACCGTTTTTTAGAACGATTAGTTGCTGTTGTACTACCAGCACTAGTTTCGGAACTACACGATGATGACGTATCACCTTGAGAAGCATTAGCTGTGGATAAATTTGAAATGTTTAAACTGAAATAATGTAACAAGAGTCAAAATAACCAATATATTCGTATACGACCAAGTTTTTGATTGCGATAACAAAAAAACAAAAACACAAGAAATTTCTTCTAGCCAGCAAAAGAAGGAACAACTTCCGATACAATAATTTTATCGCAATTAAAATTAATATAAAAACTTTTTATGCATTATGGCGGAAGAATTTTTGACATTTTAGAGGAAACTGTAATACTATCAGAAAGCATTAAAGCATCAGAACTAATTTCAACTAGCTTATCAAAAGCTTACTCTTGATCATGATCATAATTCCCATAAAGAGATGCTCTGAACTGTCGTCGACGTAAAATACTTTGCATTTCTCTAAAATTCATATTCTAAGATTATAATCCTGTACTTTTTTTTAAAAAAATAGCATCTTTTCATGAGTAACAAGCTTTCAATATTTAACTAACTATAAGTCAACATACTGCTATTTGAATCCCTCGATTAAGTCTACAATGTTTAAAGTCATGAACTTGAAACAGTTAAATAATCATAATATTTATGTAATAAAATTTGAAAAAAGAAGATATTCATCATAATGTAAACAAAAGCAACTACTTTCTCAAAATTATAATACTGAAAATAAAAAAAGTAACCTTTCATTCTGATCCGCTAAGTGTTCGTAAATACGCTGTCGAAGCCATGCCATGCGCACTGGATCTGAAGCTATACCCTCATAATGCTCTGTGTTCATCTCATTTTCATCATTTTCATCTTCAAAAGCCTGCAAGAATGTTTCTCCATCGCTTTAAATATTACCTTTCTATTTTGATATTGCATTTGATATTTTTAAAATGTATTATTGCACAAACAATAATGAAAATTAGTGACACCGTCTTAACTTTAACAAAAGACAATACTGATACAGTCTGATAGATAAAATATCCAATTAATTTAATTTGGCCGATTACCAAGCTTGAGTACGCGGGAATCAAAGAGTCAGTTTCGATATACAGATCACGTGATCGCGGCGGTTCACCGTCACGATATTCAATAACGATGCTAGTCTCCATACAATGTTTTGGTTGTTCAGAGATCTCAAAGATTATATTGAAAGAACTTGAAATTACAAACAATATGGCTTAAAATTAGTGAGTTACTTAACAAATATTTGCTAATCTAATATTAAAAAGTCATGAAGTAACTATCTTTTCCCAGTGAATACCAAAACAACTAATATATAATATTTTCTTTCTACCACATATTTTAGACAATGATAAATGGTTCGTGGTAATTGTTGCCTTATTTGCATGAACGGAATCAGGAAGCTCAATATCTTATACTGGAAAATGATGAATCAGATACATGATTTCGAATATAGATCGTCTGCTGTCTTTTCAGAGCAGTTCGAATGCTGTTGCGAATGAATACACCGGTAAGATATTGTAAACTAGGCACTTGATTTATAGGAGGAGCATTCGAATAGAGATGTTTAGACACCTCCATTTCAGTAGGTTTTACAAAACTTGAGAATGAAACTGACGTAATAATCTTAACGAGAAAAACGTGAGCTGATTCACGGCGAACCTGTTGTAGCTGCAAAAGTCAGTTTAATTTTATATTTTAAATAAGTTATCACGTACACAGTGAGAAGTAACAGTGATGATGATTGATATTTGCACAAGCAACTTATAAATGCATTTTATAATGTTATAAAATCATAAGCAAAATAATTTGGCCAAAAATTACTGCCTTTTTTTGCATTTTCACCAACTTCAAAAGCATTGCAGATTTATGATACAAAAGTTAAATGGAAACTCTAACTCAACTTTTTATGCCCCGAAAACTATTTCGGTCTAAATATTGTAAATAAACTTACTTGATCATTATATGGCATTACGAGAATCCCACCGATCTTTAGTAAATCCCACAGAATACGCCGATGTGATTCTGGAACAGTAGCGCCGCAATAAACACGATCGTATTTGAAATTATGAACTGGATTCAGATACAACCCGTTTCCACAAGTAAATATTGGTGTAGCCCATTCAAAACATTGTGTTTCCGGAAGAAGAGATGTTTCAGCAACTAATTCTCGGGCATAATGAACCACATTGTCGTGAAGTTCTATGCCATGATTTTTGCCAGTGCTGCCTGTTAAAATGTATAATTTCAGAATAAATATTGGTGATTAAAGATGAACATGAATATGTTCCTATTGATCGTACTAAACTGAGGTCTTGCCAGAAATATTTTCTGAACTTTATACAAACAAACCTAAAATATGATTTCTTGGACTTTGTCTAATTAGATGGTTTATTTTTTTTACAAGTAGCTTCTCTTTCCTTGTACATAACAAGGATTTATAAAAATTTTGGAAAACAAAAACTGATTTTCAACCGATTTTTCAACTCTAGCTTAAAGCCTTATGAATGATAGTATAGACTGAAATGAAAATTCAAAAAATTATAATTGTCACATACCGAGCAAATAACCGGCGATGGTATTAAGGTAGCCTGTACCAGAACCGATATTTAGAAAACTATTGCCATTTTCCAGCTTAAGACATTCCAAGACATTACCATATATACATGGAGCAGAAATATGTATTCTCCCAGGACAGCCTGTCTCACTCTTCCAAGCCATATCTCTGTATGCAACCTCCTTCCCTTCAGAAGGGAAGAAACGGCGGCGATCAACCAACCTACAATTATACGTGTTACTGTGGCTACAGAAAATATTCAAAGGAAAAATAAAAATGGAAATTTAGTAATATGAAAAATAAGTCGTGATCCAGTTTGATGAATTTAATCAGTAATCCCTGTTAATAAAAATAGCACTGCAACAGTTTCCAAACAAAATATGCTTTTGCATGTATATCAACTTAGTAACAAACTTGAAAAATCTACCTTAAAGCAGTCTCAATTCCGTGAGAGTAAACAATATCAGCTTCAACAAGTTTGTCAACCAAATCATCATTATCAGATCCCGAACTTGCAACAAGTCCCATTTCTAAAAATATTGGATATTTATCACAAAAATTACTTTCTCAAAGTGCCAGAGCACTTTGTAGTTTACCGATGCTTCAAAACTATAGAAAAAAAAATCACTCATGATATGTGCCATTTATGATCAAACAATGATAGCATTAATTATCACTTCTGATAAATAAGCATACAAAAAATAAGATGAAATAGTCAATAAAAATGTATAACAAGAAAAAAATGAAACTTGGTTGGATATGAAGTTTGAAGACAAAAAAAATATTAAATGCTACACAAATTTTTTGATACACAACATCCTAACAAAGAACTTGGCAAATAAACTTTGCTGAGTTAATTAGTAAACAATTCAGAAAATAAGTCTTCCTGGGCAAACATGAATACAAAATTAATATTTTCTCGAGTACTAACAACTTGAATGTCTCAAATCCAAATTTTCGAGATTGCAACATTTTAACGAGGCAATATATTGCTTAACACATGGCAAACACGATTTAAGATTAATTGCTGAACAACTTCTTACACAGCTATTACCACTAAAAATAAAAATACCAGTACTAAAAATTAACAAATAAAAAAAATAACATTCCTATAAATGAATAATAACACTTTTTTGTAATCTCAAATCTTCCTGGGCAAACATGAATACAAAATTAATATTTTCTCGAGTACTAATAATCTCAAATATTAGCCTGTGCAAAAATGGAATACATAATTGTTATTTCGCTATGTGTAAACAAATTACATTCAACAAAATTGAAAATAAAATACGGATGCGTACGATAACATTACGCATAAATAACAGCATGCAAGAAAATTTTCATAAGTGAAAAAATTACGAAAGAAAAGCAAAACTTTTCAACGTGATATTTACTTGCGTACAATTTTTGCTGCTTTATCTCACTCCTAAAGAAATGCCCAATTCTGTTGCTTTTGTCAGATTTGAAAAGAATTAATTATTAAGGAAGTAATGAAACTATTATTTTATGACTAATTAAACTGCCTTGCCATTGAACAAGTCATAGGCGCAATTTTCAGAGTTGTCAAATTTGCATAAGTTTTCCAGAGAGAGGAAAAAAAAAGTGCCACATGTGAAAATAGAGTGATGGCAGTAAAGAAGAATTGGTTTCAGCATAATTGCTTCAAGCATTAGCCATCATACTATGTCATATACATTGAACAAAAAATTGCACACAGCAAAAACTTTCACATTTACTTCTTTTTCACAAATAATTACAGTTTTTATGATTTGACAAATTTTTCCAATTTACTCTTGCTTGAAAAATGCTTAATTTTTCAGTCTATAATTGCAAGAAAGATGCAGAAGAGAATGAATAATTACGCTTGTTGACTTGCTAATAACATATCAAATATAATTAGTTAAAAAATTATTAGATAAAATATAAATTAATAACTATTTATATTTAACAATACTTAGAATCATGTAAGCTTAAATTGAGCAAATTCTAACTTTCAATAAAATTATTCAAATTAAGCAAGTATAGCTCACACTAAAAATTAAACTTAATAAGCTTATCGTTGAACTACAACGTAGAAGATAATATATGTAGCAGTACAATATAGACTTTTTATAGCATACAAAAGGCTTTCAATTAAAAGGTCACAAGTGATGATGATTAAAAAATGCTAAAATAATCAAATATTATGCAAAGCTACTGCGGAAAAATGAAAACTAACAATATTTGCGATGATTGTACACATAAATTAGATAACTCTAGCAGTTGAGCTTGATGAACTGAAGTGTCTAGAGGGCAGTTTACATAGTCTGTTTAGTCTTAGGCTTAGGCAAGGATAATTCTAGCTGACCTAAAAGAAGAGATATTCAAATTACAACAGTTCAAGTCGAAAGAGAGTAGCAAGACTACTCAAAATATTATCGATGAACACAATACTCAGTCATCAAAAAGCTCATCTGTGCCGCTGCACATTTTCCTCTGCCTCTTTGTCTTCTCTCATAATTTCGTATTATTTCTACATTTTTGAGCAATAACTTGAACGTGCAGCAATAGAAGCTGCTTGAAAAGTGTTCTTGATAACAAAACAATAATAGGATAATTAGCGAGATTACGCAAGACAATAGTAATTGCAAGAAAGAAGGTGCAGGCGGGAATGGATTTGTATTATGCTAATAATATTAGTAAATACAATATAGGAGGCATCATTGATTTAACTCACATCTATGAACAAAAAATAATAATAAATTCATATTTTGATTGTTTTATTATCTTTTAAAGTGATTTAAACGTAAGTTGGCCGTACCAAATTTGATTGTGAAAACTTGGTGTAAATCCCTCAAAATCATTTATTTTTATGTTTATTAACTTCCATTTACATGAATAATTGATTTCGGACTTTACATCAGACCTCTAAAAAGCACAAAAAAGTTCATGAATAAATTATCAAACTTTGAATTTGCTAAAGCTGATGAATCACTTTTATGACTGAAGGCTAACTATGCAAATACATAGACTGAACTAATTACAACATTTAAGCCTTCTATTACTTACGTACAAATATGTCTTTCATATTTTGCTTTTTCCTTTTAAACTCAAAAAGTGGCCAGTTGTCTGCTATTATTATTGCCATGAATAGCTAAAATTGCAATCGAAAAATTTGTCAAATAATTTCAGTATGACTGGCAGGCAGTATCGTAACTTCAGAGCACTTCTATGTAATTTTATCAAACATAAAATATTTGTTAATTTTTGTGTGTTTGTTTTTTTGTAGTACAAAAATGGCAAAAATAGGAGAACATTTTCATCAAAGATTCATTAAATAGCTTAAACGTTTTAATTATGCATGCATTTAAATTTCTTCACATGTATGAGTGAGTGACTTCTAAGAGAGTCTAAAGACTGTGATCAAAAAGTCTACGCTAAATACGACACGCTTCAATCACTTACTTATACGTAATATTACCATTGCAAACGTCTGCAAGTTATAGTGATGAAAAAAAATTTGCAGTAATTTGCTCACAAAAGCAAACTATCCGTTTGGAATATTCCAATTGAAACAAAATATAACAGACACCAAATTAAAAAATAAACTTATTGTTAAATGAGAGATTAAGGCAAACACCATGGTTTTATACAAAAAGTGATAGGAAAGTACGACGTAAGCAGAACATTTATGTATATATAGCTGCAATAGTTGGCTATGGTTACTGTACATTTTGCGGTACTCCGAGATATTCGGGATAGCTTACTAGGATATTTTTGTGGACATTCTTCACGCAAAGATGTTGTAGTTGGATTTTTGAATAGATACTGATTACTTAGCTTGCACTTATTATCTAGATCTAGTCACAAGCCATTAAACCAGTGGCATAGCTACAAAAATGTTACAATATGTCTTCATTCATAACTATAGTTCTTTGGTACTAATCTTATTTTATTATTCCACTTATCACTAATTAGTTATTGCCAGTTATTTTAGTTCAGTCTTATTAGATTGTAGATGATGCACAATATTTTTTAGAGCTCAATTATTATTCGTATTATAAATTCCATTTCTCTTCCGAACTTTATTTTGATTAACTTTGTGTAGTTTTAGCAGTAATTATAATTAGGTATAATGTTATGTTTTCGAAAAACTTTGTGATTACAGTGATGCCGTCCGGAAGCAGTAACTTCGTGTACTTTATCTACTTGCTTCAGGTATCTGAATGTAGACTTCAATTTTCCTTACGTTTCAAGAAATAAATTTTTCATTGAATATTTTTCACTTCCATGTTAGTTTTAGCTTATGTATTTCTTTTTTTATTTGGAGACTTAGTTTTCATGCATTAATGTTAATTTCCTGTGAAAAGTATAGAAAATTGAGGAAAATTTATTATGCTTACTTTTATTCATTGTCAAGATTCTTTTTCGTTGTCATTTTTGTCGTTGTTCGTCGTATAATTCTTATATGAGAATGTGGAATACGTATTTCAGAAATCTTTACAGTTGTAATTATGTTTTTATTACTATGTTCATTATCTTTTATCTTCTGTATTTATCTTGAAATGAGATTAAGATGGTACAATGTTATGTTTTTAGAAAAACGACAGAATATAATCGTCACGGAGTCCAAATCACTTTGGCACGTGAAAATAGTTGTCGTGTCCAATCCGTCAGATGGACGAAATGCGAGATGGATGTCCTAAAGCTGAGGATATCCTTCATGTTTTACGGGATCGTGTAGCTTTGTTGCCTGGCGCAAGAGATAAGAATGGTCGATCTGTAATTGTATTTCCTGCACGTGAAAGTTCAACAGCTATTAATCCAGATCATATTCGAAATATTCTTATTTATCTTCATGCTGTAACAGCGTAAGTTCAAATCATATAATTTCGTGCAGTTCATATTAATATTACTATTACTATTATTATCATAATTTTTTCTATTTTTCATGATTATTACTAATATAATTAAAAAATTTGATTTTTTTCACTGCTCAAAACACTTTCAAAGCAACTGATTATTTAAGTTCTTGTTTGAAACTTAATGTTAGAAAACTAATATCTCACCTTTTACTATCACCTGTAAAATTTTGTTTTATTCCGAAATTATTGTCTTTTGAAGGTATTGAAAATAGAAGTATTAACCTAATTATAAACATTGCAGAAATAGTTCGAGTTAATATTTTTAAAATATTTTTAAAAAAAATATGTCAAATCGTCAATTAAATATTAATTTATCAGAGACAGCAGTTTATCAAGCATAAAATTTGTTATAATGGAAAAGGCATTTATTTTGTTTCATAGGGTATTATGGAGCTGTAGTTCGAATTTAAAATTTTGTGACATGCAATGGTAGGGATTGATTCAGAAATATATCAGCAATAAATTTTAAAGCATGAAGTCCATCATCATTTTGCATTTGTACAGCAATTCAACTATTTTCGTTCTTACTTCGTATATATAAGCAATTCTTATAGTGATGATTATAAAGATCGTGGATTCACGATCATTATTGATATGCGGAAAGGGACAACATGGAATAATGTGAAGCCAATCTTGAAAACTATTCAGGTAATTGAAAAGTGTCCCAGGAAAACATTTGTGTATAATTCCAGTTTTAAAAAATAAGCATATGTGTCGATATAAAATGCAAAAATGAAAATAATTCAGAAAAAAATATCTTCATTCTCTCATAAATATGAAAGGTTTTTCGACTCTAAAAACTCTGTAACATGCAATTAAAAAATAATAGTCTCATTTACGTTGCTCATGTACTTTACTATTTTTGTTAGACTAGTAGTATTGTAGAAGAAACAGTTCTAAAATAGCTGTGATTTAACTTTCAGGAGCACTTTCCAGCTGAAGTACATACTGTATTAATAATTAAACCAGACAAATTTTGGGAAAAACACCGAACATCTGTATCAAGTGGAAAATATAAGTTTGACATTCAAATGATTTCGGTTGAAGGTCTTACGCGGTATGTCGATTCATCACAACTTACGCGTGAATTAGGTGGTTCTCTATTTTACGATCATGATGAATGGCTGGATACAAGAATAGTTCGTTCTTTTTATTTTTCCTGATTATAGTTGGATATGAAAATCGTGATTAAATAGCATAAAAACAAGCATGTAAATGCAAAAGAATTGTCATACTGAGTATTTTGAAAAAATTATTTTGAGGTGCTCCGAACAGACAAATATTTAGTATCCTCATAAAACTTTAGGAGTTGGAAAAATTGATATGGCAAACAATTGATGTTATGCGTAATTTTGAAATTTTTCGTGAGGAAATGAAAAATGGCGAAATGCCAGTTGATGTTACCACAGCTGAGCGCTCAACAGCAGCACACTCTGCATTAAAAAAGAGAATTCTGAATGCACCAATCGAACGGATTCAAAATGAAGTTGAAAGCGTAATTATTAGAAAATTCTGATTGACTATTCATAAAATCTTCGTTCGCAAATTTTGTTGATTAAATCACAAAGCAAGAATGACAAATTTATAAGCAAAAATGAACTGGAAATTGATTGAACTCCTGGATCAAAAGACTCCATTTCTTCTGAATAAAAATGCATTTTATGATAACGTGATGGTCTCATTTACTAATCTTAGAGAAAATATGTCATTCATAAAACTTTACTTCGCAAGTTTCTGTTCTTGCTTGAAATTTAACTTTTTTTGTGTTGCAGATCCAGCAGAGGATATTAGGCTCTAATGCAGGAACACCTGACGATGGTTACAACTCTTCAAATGGACTGCCATACACTAATCCAGATCTTGTTGCTGCTCTTCCACATCTTTCTGCGCTTATTAATTCTCTTCGTACTTCAAAGTTTGTAGTTTTCGATATAATCATCCACTTGTTTACTACAAAGTAGTTAATATAAACTATTTTTCTTGCATGAAATTTGTTTTTGTATTTCGCACAAATTTTAGAGATGAAATTTTTATGCAGTGGGAAGCACGTCGACAGAAATTAGATCACTGCTATCAATTGAAACTTTTTGAACAAGATGCAGATAAGGTATTTTTTAATGCCACTTTCATATTTTGTGTGCTTTCAAAGTCATTTTTGTACTGAGGAGTTTTTTTTTTTTGATTTGAATTATAAATCTTTCATGAAATTAATATTTATATTTGAAATTTTCGATGCTTGTAAAAGCAAAAGTTTTATAATTAATTTATTTATTGAGATGTTTGAATGGATTCGGAGTCATTATGCTTTGTCAATGCAAAGATTGTTGGAAATAGGTGATTCTGAGCAGTCAACTTCAATGTTACTCGCAGAGCACCTCGATTTCATTACTGCAGCTAATGTTTGTTTATTGAAATAAAGGAATAATTCTTAGTCCTGAATCAGTTTTTATTTATCTTTCTAAAAACTTTTTTCTTTAATTTTTGTAACATATAATAGAGTATTTTTTATAAGTGGTTATCCAACAAATCCGATATGTCATTTTGTTTCAGATTTTAACTTTTTTTAAAATGCTGTAAGAGATTTCATTTTAAATATTATTCGAAGAAAATTGCGTCATATCTTTTTCTACAACTGTATTCATTTCTTACTCCAATAACTCCAACTTAGTCAAGTTTAATATCCAAAAGTTACACAGTTAATTTAAACAATTTTGTTTTTTGTTAGTTATGATAAGTCACAATAATGGTTCAGGTAATTATTTAGAGGAGGTTTATTTGAATCAGAATATTTTTCATAAATATTTTATGACTTTGTGCAGTTTCTGTCCTTCAATATAAGATTATATAGGATTGGTTTGATTGACTACAGAGTTATTTGCTAGCAAATAAATTTTTGGCAGATGTCATGTGTGAAAAATTCTTGATTCCTCCAGAACACTGAAGTCAACATATCACATGTGACAACAGTTGCGAAGCGTCTTCGTGAAATTGGCAATTATGGTAAGGTACAAATTGAGAATGTTGCGTTACGTTTGGATGAAGAATGGCGGAGATTTAAACAAATTAATGATCAGAGATCCCGTCTCCTCGATTTATCTCTTTCATTTCATCGGAAGAGTCACATTGTCAGTTTAGTTTTTCTTTTAAGAAAAATTAAATTTCTTTTCAAAACAAGTTTCTAGTTTTTAATTGAGATACAGTCTATAATCTATTTGAATCTTATGCTCATAATTAGTATAATGAATCATTCTCAGATCAAGTTTATAATTTTTTTTCGAGTTTGTAATAGAAGTTGGTCCAAAGCTAAAAGATGATTACGCTATTTTATTTATAGTTTTACTGATGTTGCAGTATTTATCAAATGCTCCTTCTTGGTTGCATAAAATAACATCAGATAGTAGCAGACGAATGGGTCAGTATTCCGGAGAAGAATTGGAAGCAGCTATTGCTGAACATGAACGCTTTGGAGAAGTGTTCTTACAAACATATGCTGAAGTAAAATGCAGAATTATTAAATTGTGGAGATCTTATTTCAAGTTTATTAGAGTTTGGATATGTATATGATGATAAATAATAGTTTATGCAATCATTTAACTGAGATTAATTTAAAGCAAAACATTCTTTATAAGTATTTGATGACTTTGTGCAGTTTTTGTTTTTCTACTTAGATTAGTGGATTTAAACAGTCATAAAGGTAAGTTTTTTTGTCGTAGTTTTAGCTTCATTTACATTAACTGCTTTTAACCTTCTGGAAAGATTAGTTGATGATAAAAAATATCCACTTTTTGGTATTTAGTTTACATTGGTGTCATTAGTTTTGAATATTTACCCTAAAAGAATTTTCAGGCTGTTGGTGATGGTCGTTCTCTTTCTCAAATCTTAAAAACGTTAGCAGGTGAAACAGTTGGACAAAATAGCGTATATAAGCATGTTGTTGATTTGATTCAACAAATAACTCGGGCTCATAAAGAATTGCATTCTCAGTGGCAAGCAAAAAAACTCCGCTTACATTCCAGACTCGCACTGATCGCTTTTGAAACAGATACTCATAGGGTTTGTAATTGTTTTAATTATATTTTCAATGTTATTGCTAATATATTCTCTCATTATTACAGTATTGTATTCAGTATATTGCTGTGATCAGAAAAGCCTAAGCTCTAATTTGAGACACGTAATTGCATTAAAATTTTTTTAAATTAACATAGATTTGAATGTAAATTTTGCGAATGGTTGAATCATTCGTTTTTAAGAATTTTTCTATGATCACTTCACATCTTATTTGATTTTTTATGGTTTCCTCTAATTTCTTGTTTGAGTAATTTCTCATTATAAATATATTTGCTGTTTATGCTAGCTAGAAATTATTATAAAAACAAATTCTTGATATTAGCATTTTCGTTATTTATTATTTACATGTTGTAGGTCCTTCAGTGGTTAGAAGAACATGGTGATGCGTATTTGAATAAAAATACTGCTATTGGTAATAACTTATCGCAAGCCAAAACTTTACAGAGAAATCATAGTCATTTTCGATCAGTAGCCTCAAATACGTATTCAAATGCAGAAAAATTATTTACTGCATCAAATACGATTATTGAATCCGGCAAGTACTTTCTTTTTTCTGCTTAATAGTTTCTGGTTTTTAGCTGTTGTTTATAGTTTTTGCTTTAATAATTTGCCAAGTATCTAATTTGTAATGAGAGCCTTGAATTTGGTTGTCTAAATATTTCTGCTTTAATAATCTGATCATTGTTATTATACCTACTTTATATAGTGATACATTTAAATCAGCAAATATTAAAGTGAATATAATTTTAATAATTTGAAGGATTTTTTTTCCACTATTCGCAAGATTTAAAAATATTCATTGAAGCAGTGGATGATTTGACATTATAGGTGAATGCGACGTTCAGCAAATGACTGGTGTAGTGGAGAAATTGCGAAGACGAATCGAGGCCTTTTCTGTCAAAGTATGCTATTTTTCTGCTATAATATTTGAAAGCATTATTTTCGTACATTCATATTTTTGTCATTCCAGTTTGAAATCATATTAGGTTGAGACGCGACGAGATTTACTGAATAAATCAGTGCTTTTCCATACACATTACAATGAAATTATGGAATGGTACGGACGAATGGAAGTAAAAAGTAGTCATTACGAAAAAGTATCAATGAGTGTTCAAGAAGGTGAACGTCGAAAGGAGGAATGGATGATTGAAAGTGATGCCACAGCTCAAGTAAGATACCTTCTTCACTAATTTTTGTAAAGTTTAAACATTTTTATTTTTGTAATATTTGTAACTTTTGTGTCTGTACTTTTTGCAGGAAACAAAAAAATTATTTTTATATGTAAAACATAGGAAAAAATGAAATATTAAATAGTCTTTATTTTTAATCGTGATTTTCAATTTTTATTTGACAATACAAGTAGTTGCTTTTTGATTCTAATGCATATTTGTTACTAAATATATTAACTTTCATAATCCATTTGATCTTTTTTGAATTATTTATCAACAATTGAAAATTGTGATTCAGGCTTATGCAACTACAATGGCAGAGGGAAGTCAACTAGTTAGAGCATTGGAGCAGCAAGCGAAAATGATGAATATTGATAATCGTGAGACAGTCACTGTCATTGAAGGTCTTATTAATGATATTGGTGAGTATTGTTATGATCACAGTCTTAACTATATGGCTCTATAATCAGCTTATATTTTTCTCTGTTTAGAAAATTTTTTGATAAAAGTAGTTTACAGAGCAAAGCCATGCAAAGCTGGCAGACCGATGGCCACATCAAAGAAGAGCTCTTCAACTTGGCGTGAAATTTGCTGCTTTCATTAAAGACTGCAAACAAATTATTCAACAATTAAGAGTATGATAAAATTATTAAATAACATTAATTTTAATAATCGAAGATATCAGTTTTAATCTATTTTTTATTTATCCATCAGGAGGAAGTGAGCTTATTGCACTTTTCATTCAGAGGAAGTTATAAATTATTTTGCGGTCTTGATTTTTGATAAATAAGTGCTCAGAACTGTTTGAAAGAACTAGTTTATCTAAATCAAAGGATTAAAGTTAAATAATTGTTAAAGTCGTGTTTGTAGAACTGGCGTGAAGATATGATCGCTTTAGTGAAGTCTGATAACTTTACTGAACGTGCCGAACATATTTTGCCATATCAGGATGATAACACTGCCCAAGTCAAAAACGCTGTTACTGGAGTGAAGAATAATGCAGCTGAATTACTTCAGGTTATTTATCAACTTTTTAAATAGTTATCGATTTGTTTGTACAGAAACTTTCAGTTATCAGTTATTATTGAGCTATTGATATATATTTGAGAAGAATATTCCTGCGTACATTTCTCAGCAGCTGCAACATTCAGTTTTCTACAATAATAGCATCAGTTTTCTGTGCAGTCTAATTTTTTATGAGAATTTCAAACTGCATTTCACAAAAGTTATTCTTTTTTGGTCACAACTTTTGATGCCTTCTTTTTATTTTAAGTTCTGACAAGATTAATATATGCGTTATTTAAACAAATCATGGTAAATTTTTTTGCTATTAAGTCTTATTTAATTTCTAGTATATTTTTGCAAATATAATTCAATCTAAAATTTTTGTGGTTTATCGTCTCATTAATAAGTGGATGAAGCTTTTATTCTATCTGACTTTATTATTTCGGTTATGTAAATCATAAACATAGTATTGCAATGTCTGTTGTGCTAATCTATTGAAATGATATGAAGTATTATACGAAGTAAGGTTACAAAATTTTATAGTACTGTTATAACATGTGATATAATATAATACATCTTTACGTTTATACTGAATTCGTTTAGCAGCTATTTCTTTGAAAAATTTTTTGATAAATTTTTTTTTGTGAAAAGTTACTGGAAAAAATTTAATCATTTTATTTTGTCGTCCATTCACATGAAAAATTTTATTCTTATTTGTGTTTTGAATACTTATTTTGTACTCTACAGTTTTTTAAGTACTTCAGATGTAAAGTTAGTTTTGTCTTTTTTAAAGGTATGCTTTGATATAACTTGGGAAACTGTATGAGCAGTGTAGAATTTCATTTAATAAATTAACACATTGTGGAATGGAAAAGAAATCTGGTAAAATTCGTACTGATTCAAGAGCTTGCGATATGTAGTGAGAAAAAAGTTTGCTACAGATAAAAGCTGAATAATGAAAAAGTGAATGGGATTATTAGGGCATGAAGTTAGGATAATGTGAAAAGTTTTAATTTATGTACATCAAAAAGGATTCTTTTTTAAATCCTTTTTTTCAATCTTTGCGGTGATATTTTCTTTATGTATTCATGAGAGAGATATGTAAAAGTGGTATTGGTAAGATGGACTAAATAAAGGCTTTATTTTCATCTGCAAGCAAAAAATTATTACATTTAGTCATTATTTTATGCTCGGATTAACCGAAGCAGCCACTACGACACAGTAGTTGACATCACTTTCTAGCGCTGAATAAGCTGCTTATGACTTATGTGTTGAACTAAAAAAAATATTGAGCTAGTTATAACTAATATTGTTTTCAAGGCACTTCGAGATTATGAATCTATACTGGTTAATTCGGAAAATGTACCCGCTACTGATATAATTATTGCCAGCTTACAACAACTTACTGATTGTCAACGTGAAGTCATGCAGGTAGATCCTATTGTATTTATCGCACAGATTTCTAGTTAATGACTTATGCGAACTCGATATGGTTAAACCCACTTTTGTGTGATGTAGTTAATCTTTTGATAAGCGTGTTCAACCTATAAAAAGTGATATCAGAAAAATCAGATTTCATATCGAAATTTGATTTTTCTGATATGCACTTTTTTGTATATGTAGAAGTGAAATAGCATTGTCAACAAAAATTTTCCTATTTCAACCCTTGTAAGGCTTTTAAATGCAGCAATTTGTATGCTTAATCTAATTATTTAAATGAGCTAAGTCATATTGATCAGAAATTTAGGTCTATAATTCAATAATTTTAGGTTGCTCAGGAAACACACCATCGAATTGAACAGTGTATGCAGTTTAATCGTGCTCGTGCACTAGCTGCAGTTGCTATACAAAAAATGCAGTATGAAGAAACAAAATTGCTTCAGATGAATACTATCCCAACTTCTTTAGAGGAAGCTCTTATAGCTCAAGCTTCTCACAAGCAATTCCAACATGCTGTTGAGGTGAATCGAGAAATTAAACTTTTAAAGCTTTAAAAATTTGAATTTTTGATTGCTTATTTACCACTGAGATGGCGGGAAAAGAGTGGTATGTATGCGATAACGTTCTTTAAAAGCACGGAGTTTATACTGAGTGTTTACTTAGTATTTTGAATGCGTAGTTATGAGTGTAGGTGAGTTTTCTCCGGCCTGAACTTTGATTAACTGACTAAACGTGAAAAATTGTTTGTTTTGCTTGATATCTCAATGATTACGTGGTATTCTAAGGCAAGTTCTGTGAGTTCAATTATTGTACTGTGTCTTTAAGTGTGCAGTTAATCTAATGCAGATCATTTGCTAATCTGAGTGGTCTGTTTTTAGATTGATAGTAATAACGATCGTTGTTGAGTGATTTGTTTGATGTCATAAAAGTATTTCAGACATTTTTTGGAGCCAGTTTAATAAATATGTAAAATGCAGAAATTTGGTAAAATTATAGAGTATCAGTCACACAACAAGTGCATTCTTGAACAAAACCGACCAATTAATTAGCGGAGGCGGCATCGATATACGTTCAGTGGATGATTTGAATGAAGAAGTATTAAATCGTTGGAGAAGATTAGTTGGACTTACGGAAGAAAGAAATAAATTAATCAAGGCTGGGGTTGTGTGCTATAAAACTTTACATCAGGGGGTAAATTTTGTTCAGTCAACATTTTATTTAGTCACATTTTTGCTCTCGTACTTCCAGTGTATTATAGGAAATAAATGCACAGTTCAATATCTCTTAGTAAAAATTTCTGTCACAAATTTCTTCTGCAAAGTAAAATGTTCCTTTCATATGTGTATATACATATACTTCAATTGCAAATTTGGAATAGAAACTTATATACACGAAATTTTCATGCAGTTCAGAAACTGATACCAATGTATGTCAAATATTTGGCTAGTTTTACAGGTAATGCCAATTCTGGATCAACTTGAAAAAGAATATAGTATGAGTTGTAAAGATTGGTGTCAAATGAGAGGAGGTGAAGGTGCCAAAGATCGTGCGCATCATATATCAAGTTTATTATCGAAACATATGGAATATAAAGAGAGATTTTTGAAGGTATGTGTTGTAGTTTTTTGTAGGCAGAATATTTTTTTTTACATGAGTAACGAAGTAAATTTTCTCTCTGCTTGTAACTGTAGTTCTATGTACTATTATTAATACTTGTATAGCTGAAGTTATTCTTCGTGCTAGATCTGAAAGCACTCTATCAAGTTTTTGTTTTTGCATTGTTGACAGAATGCCTCAAATTACAGGGTTGTTCATATGCTCAAAAAACATCGGAAATGTTTTTGAAATATATACGGCGTTGTGAAGCTTCATCAGAGCATATAGGACAACATGAAAAGCGTCTTTTAGCTCTTAAAGAAAATCTCCGTAAGCGGCAGACAAAAATTTTAGATTTGTGGATGAGAAAAAAGCAGCAGCTTGATCGGTGTCACGAGGCATGTTTGCTCGAAGCTACTGCATCTGAGGTAAAACACTGAATTTAACTAAGCGCAATAACTGTATTTTATTAAGCACTGCTCTAGTTTGGAAATAAATTACATTATTCTATAGACTACTGCTATTGTTTTGTAGAACCACGACTGGATTGTCACAGAAGGTGAAAGGTTTCTGAAACGGTGCTTGGAAAGGAGATTAAGCGTGGCTGATCGAGAAAGCTTGGAATCATATATGGAAGAGTATATGACTTTCAAAGCTGAAGCAAAGGTTTTGACTTTGTTGTCACGTGTATTAGGAACAGAAAGTTTGAGTATTTCGAGAAATCAAGCATTCAGCGCATGATGTATCTCAAATAGTGATATTAAGTTTAAATCTTTTGAATTGTTCCAATTCAGCAAAAAAGATTGAAAGTCCGGATGATGCTTGAGCTGGCAGAGAAATTTCTGTCTTCGTTGGACCAACATTGCAATGTTATTGAACGAAAAATGCTTGATGTTCGATCAAGCTACGAACATTTTTCCTTACGTCTTACCGACTACGAAAATTCGCTCACCGAAGCACTCGGTCGGAAGTTGGATGTAAATAAAGCGGTTCGTTATTATTATAACATTTTTTTTAATTTTTTTTCACTTGAAAGGAATAAATTTGAGTAAACGAATTGTTTAAAAATTGATTGAAAACTCACTTTTATTTTAGAAAGATGAATTTTCACTGGATCGGAAAAGTGATTCAAATATAGAAGCCAAAATTGAAAACGAACGACTAGCCAATGAAGAAAAACGTAAAATGAGGTAAGATATAATAAAATTTGTTACATAACTATTTTCGCGTCATTGTTTCTCGATCAAAAATGGGTTAATTTTCTCTGGATATATTTAAGTGCATCAAGTTTCTGGGGATGTTTATCTCTTTGCAGGGAACCAATGATGGAACTTATCAAATCGGAGAAAGATTACATTGAAGATTTGCACAAATGCATAAAATATTATTTAACCGCTTATCGTGTTGCTAATGACAAGTTACCTGTCGTAATCCGTGATAAAGAAAAAGAAATCTTCAGCAATATTGAACAACTTTACAAATTTCATAATGAGTTTGTGATTTTTATTTAGTCTGCTCATTATAAAGAATTTAAGCACTATTTCTGAATTTCCTCATCTCAGTAAAAATCTAGAATTGTGCTTAAATTGTACAAATCCGTAATTTTTTCGTAAATTATTTTTTAATGATTGTTACGTATATGATGGCTTTTTTGACACATAATTTTTTCAGCTATCACAAATTCTTACAAATAACAATTCCAGAATTTTTTTGCCGGAATTAATAAAATACGAGAATGATCCTGAGGATGTTGGCTACTGTTTCATATTTTCTGTCGAAATTTTGAATAGTCTGTACACTGAATATTGTGTAAACAAAGAACAGAATAATTATATAATTACATTACCAGAAGCTATGTATTTTTTTTCGGTAAGTTTTTGCAAAAATTTGCAATTTTTCAATGTCTGTATTATGTTTAAGTTGGAAAACAACCGAATTTTATCAACCATTTTTTAAGATATATATGAGTAACGCAGCTGAGCTTATTATCTTAAACTTAACTTTTGATGAGTCTGAATGTTACTTAAGTTTGATTACTGTTAAATGAATTTGGTAATTATGAAGTATAGGAAATAATTTCACGGAAAGATCTATTTAAACTAATCGCGAATATTTTTCGGTTGTTGACGCTCTATAACAAGCATGTCTCCTAATTCTTTGCTTAATTTTTTTTTTTTGCAGTTGCTGTTTTCTAATTATTATATTAATCGCTTTTTCGATCAAACAAACAATTCATAAATAAATTAAAATCACGTAGTATATTTCGTAGTCATTTCATTTTAGGAAATTCGCGAGAGGAATGGTTTGGAACATAGTCAGGATTTATCATCTTTGGTAATCAAACCCGTACAACGTATAACACGATATCGTTTGATGCTTGAGCAACTGTTAAAAAATTGCAAAAACAATGTTGATGAAATACGGGTAAATGTTGCACTATTTGAGACTAATCTTAATTTTATCACTCCATCTCTTTATTCATTTACCTCATTCATTTGGGATGAAAAGTAAAAAAATCTCAGGACCGCTTTCTTAAATTCAGATCAGTGTTGTTATATAAGGGCTAATAAATGCAGCTTATTTCACTGGATATTTTGCTATTTATTTAAGAGATTTAATATAGTATTTTATTTATAATATAATATTAGAGATAAACGGACATCTGTACTTCTTTTCATGGCAGAAAAGAATAAGCTGCTGATATATGCTTTATTTGCAGGAAGCTTATGACGTTGTTGTGAGTGTACCGAGACGAGCAAATGATCTCATGCATTTAGGCAATTTTGATAATTATAAAGTATGTTTTCACGGAGATGTTTTCTGTTCTTCAATCAGTGACGGTATTGATGATGTACTGTACGGAAATGGAATTTTTTTAATAAAATGATATTAATTGCTCACTGGTGACAAAATGTTTCATTTCAGAGACTAACTCCATTGTTTTGCACCTGGTGCAATGTAAAAACTTTTACAAAATGTTATTGTTTCGAGTTTGATATGACTGAATAACATATCTGTTGTCTTTTATGCGAAAATCAAATTTTCAGATTGTAGTATGTCTCAATGATTAAAATGAGAATGCTCCTAGGTTATCGAAATATGGTCATATATTGTTCATTCATACATTTCAAATTTTCATTTTTAGAAACTTGGTGTTCTTGGTGATTTTGTGATGCAAGAATCATTTCTGGTTTGGGATCCAAAAGCATATTTCAAAAAAGGACGCGAAAGGCAGGTTTTTCTATTCGAATTGTGCGTAGTTTTTACAAAGAAGACCGAACTGTCAAGTCGAGCTATCAAATATATCTACAAAACTCATTTAATGGCAAGTGTTTTCACATTTCGATGAGTTTTGCGAAAGCGAAAGAAGAAAAAAATAGCAAAAAATCCATTTTAGATTCGAAAATTGATGCAGTCATTCAGATCTTGAGTTTGAAATATTAAGATAAATCTGCAGAGTCCTGCATGTAATTATTTTCCTGATGGTTTATTCTGAATTCGTAGTTCGTAAAATATTTGTGATAAGTAAAAAGATTTTTCTTTTCTTCTCGGTAGAAAGCAAACTAGAGGGTTACAGAAAATTTGTGTTTTTATATTATCAATGAAAATTCATTCCCAATTTTCGCCAAAAACTTCGAAATAATCATGAAGTAGCAATTTGAAGTTTATGAAAATTCAGTGATGTATAATTCGCAAATGCACCACTTACACATATCTTTAAAGGCTGTTCTCGTTATTTGACGTTTGTAGTTAGCTGAGATCAATGTTTGTGAACACGTGGAAGGCGATTCAAGCAAGTTCGCGTTACGCCAAGGAAATGAGCCAAATACGGAAATGCGGACGGAGTTAAAAGCAGCTAATGAGCAGTGCAAAGTTCATTGGGTGAAGAAAATTCGAGAATTAATGCAGGGATTGATGACAGCTAATTTCGGTAGTATTAAATTTTTTTTTTTCGTTTACGTTATCTTCAAATATGAAGATTGAGCAGATGTTAAAACTAATTTTTCATTATTTGTTCAAAATTTTGGATGATTAAGTGAAAAATTTGGCGATTGTAGACATGAGACAAGTTCCAACTCGAAATTCGACCATGACATCATTATCAGATCGAACATCAAAAGACAGTGATAGTTTACCAGTAAGTAACGAAGATAGAAGTTCTCTTCGTAGTTGCAACTCTTCGAACAGCAATCAAAACTTAGAGGTCTTGCTTTGAATTTTGAATTTTAACTAGTTGGAGGCGTGTTATTGTCAAGCAGTGACTTTTTGTTTAAATGAATTTTTTATTATTATGGATTTAATAAGTATTATAATTGCTTATTAACAAATGAATTTACCAATATCAGAACGATAAATCAGAATGCAGTTTCAAGTGGCATAATCCTTCGTAGTGGTAAGTTTTGATCATAATTTCAATTTCTTCATTGATTTCAGTGTGATATTTAATTAATATGGAAGTTTGCTTTATGCTGAAAAATTGGGAACTATATATGTTTCTTAAGCAGTATTTTCCGTACTATTCGTAATACTTTTATTTGTGGGGAAATACTTAGTCAGTTAAAATGAAGTATGTCCAAATATTTACTAATCAGTATAAGAATCATGCAATTATAGTGTAATTAAAAATAATCAGAATTTGATGATTTAGTCAAAACAGTTTGATTGCTTGGAATTAATAGGAGAAATTTAGCGAAGGATGGGGATTTTTAAGAGTGTGACGTTATAAATGGCGAGCAGTGAAGAAAAATGTTTTTGAAAAAAAGTTGAATAGAGTAAATCATAGTGATGCTTGATGTGGTTTTTTGGTTATTTTTGAGAGAAAGATTAATAGCAGAAGCACGAAGTTTGAGGACTGAGAACATAGTTGAATGAACTTGGTTGATGTAAATTCACAACATCAATATGACAACATTCTTTTAAAGATCAGGCAAATTGTGTAGTGTCATAACTCGAGTATTCTGCTTATTAGTTAGCGTGATTAGGATTATATGCTAAGAGTTAAAAATGAAAGCGGTTAAAAAGGAAATAGATCACAGTCAAAAGAAGCTGAAATTAATAATATATGAATGAATAAATGATTGAGTGTGATGGAAAAATTCTGGTGACACTCCCATCCTTCCATCGTTCTTTTGTGTGCTACTTCGATTTTTTTAATTAGCAGAAGAAAGAGAAGAAAGATAAGAAGACGTAGAAGGATTACTTTGGGCTAACATGATTTTTCTTTCGTACTAAATCTCAAAATTTAAAAAGAAGTTTTGTGGGAAGCTGTCTTCTTCAAACAGCTGCTGCTACTCCACGGCAACGAAAAGGAAGAAAGTTCAGTGGCTTCTGAATGTTATGCAGTTGTGTTTTTAAGAATAAAGAAGTATGTGGATGAAGTTTTAGTTTACGTCTCACTTTATTCAATATTTACTTACACTTTTTTTTGCTAGGCAGATGGAAGTGTGGAAGAAGACTTGGAGGTAAGATTGGAGGAGATGAATGAAGAGATAGATAGAAGAGTAGATAGATAGATGAATAGATGCGTAGAAAGAAAGTTAGATAGACTTAAAGATAATTCTAGATGCTTGTAATGAAACAAAAGTATTTGTTAAAGGAAGTTTTGTGAAAATTAAATTAGTTTTGTTCATTTTCGGGGTTTTCTTCATGCATTCTCTTGCCTTGATAAAATAGTTTTTTGTAGCATCAATCTACTTCACTTGTCAGTTCTTCCGCTTTCCTGTTTATTTACTTATGTGATTCTTTTATTATCGAATTGTAGCAATCTTTTATACTTTGTGGATTAATTAAAAATTTGTAAGAGATAACGTAATTTAATTTAAAAACTTTGCATGCAAAAAAAAGAACTAGGTGTAAAATAAAATCATCAAGAATGATTAGAATGAAAAAGAAATTAAGAAGCAAAAGTAATTCCTTGCATGATTGTTTATGTTTGATGTAAAAATCATATCCAAATGGTGAATATATTAGGTATAGATATTTGGAAGGCATGAATGCTTGATATAAACTCTATTGTGTTATAAAATATTAAATATCATAGAGGAAAGTAGGCTAAAGTGCTATCCTAAATATCAAATGACTTTCGGGTTAATTGTAGCAACTTTCGAAGATCAGTTTTCTTTTTTTTTCTCAAATCAAATGAACATTTTTAGAAATGATAAAAGTGGACTGAAAAGTGAAAGAGAGGAAACACACTTCCCTATCAGAAAGTTTGTCTATAAAAATTGAAATATGTGAAACTTAGCTGAGTATAAGGCGAACTTTTCAGACAAGTGTAGACTAGCACTAAAAATGCATGCAGTAAGCATATTAATATTCAACGTTAATAATAAACATGTATGTTTGTTGTTTTATTTTAGCAGTGGATTTAACTGGAACTGTCAAGTTTTGGAGATTGATGAAGTCAGAGATAGTTTTAAGTGTGTGGATGTCGTTTTATTTTTCCGCATACAAAATCATTAACTTTTAGCAATCAAAGTTGTTGTTAAAATTTAGAAATTTTTTGTAGCTAATACAGTCAGTCAGTCTATCACAACTGCAGTTAAAATTATACTGATGAAAAAATGAGTGCAGTGGAACAAAGCAAAGCAAAGTGTGTTATGGAAAATAAAAGGAAGATTAATGAAGAGTTGTAATGTGGCATACTGGCATGTAACTGTTATTCATTTATTTTATACTTCTGCTAACTAAGACAGTACAAGCAGATTGTGTTGTGCTGATCTACTTTTTAGTTGCAGTGAGCTGGAATTAATTTATATTGTGATCTGTTATGATTTTGAGAAGTTAATCAAATGTCTAGCAAGCAGACTTCTAATGTCAAACATTCTGGTAAACGAAATACGCCATCATCATTGAGGCGTATTTCGTCTTTTCTGCAACATTTTTGTCATAAACGGTCTGTTCAACAGCATCACAGTCTTCCATCGGTTCGTTTTTTTTCTTTTATTTTTTATTTTTGTTTCTTTGATTTTATTAGTATTTATTTTTTGAATGCTATCAATTTTTGCGAACAAAATATAGTTTGCTTGCAATTTTTGTGCAGTTTCTACATTTGAAAGATTAAATTTAAATTTAGCATGGAAAACAAATTTCATATTTATGGAAATCGCAAAACTTGATATAGTATTCTGTACTCTTTCGTGTTTATATTGGAAGTGGCGTCTATAAAATAGAGTCAAAATAATCAATTTGTCTATTAATTAGATTACTGTTTATTTGTATTCGAATAAGTCAATTTAAATATGTAATCCTTGAGGAGTTGTTGATTTTATTTTTAAAATTGTTTTGAATTTTTTCACCCAAAGTTTTACTCAAAAAAAATTGGGGAAATGCTCTGATGACGGTATTTTTATTTAGTCAGTATGAAGTTCTACTATTCATGCCTTAGATTTATAATCTTGTCTTATTTTTGAAGCATAGCAAGAAATGAGAGGAGAGCGAATTGATATTAATTATTTCAGTAAAATAAACTTCTTAAGCTTTTCATAATTTCTCTAATATCATTTTTTTTGTTTGTTCTTGTTCGCAGTGCTTTCAAGCAGTAACTATTATTAGACTAAAAAAGAAGAAATGAAAATTTTCAGCAAAAAATAAAATGAATTATCGAAAACTGATAGATATTGTATTTTGAAGTTTTCTTATTCAGAGTGAGGGACAAAAAAAACAAGCTTAGGGGATGGGCGCTCTTTATTTTTGTTTACCGTTTTTATAATGTAGAGAGATAAAGATATGGGAAGAAAGAAAGATGAAAAAATATTATTGCTATAAAAATCGTGATAATTGAATATTTATTGGTATTTATAATATTATAATGATAAAATAGTTTATTAATGTAGAGAAGTGCACTGAGATCTACTATTTAAACAGAGTAAATATTTTTAAAGTAACGTTAAACTATTCATGTATCCATTTGCATACTGAAAGTAAGTTGGAGATCTGAGAAAATTGATTGAGGAAATGAATTAATTCTTCAGCGTCTAGTTTTTCAATGAAAAATTCTCTTATGGTTGCGTTGTCTTTTGATGATATGCTTTTTGTATTAATTATAATCATTCAGAATTATGTACTTACTTGTGCTGTTGATATAAGAAATAGCTAGAAATAGTAATATCAAGTATATTAAATGGTAGCATATGATAAAAAGTGTTGAAGTTAGTTTTGTAAACTGATCATTTTTATTATTGCTGTACACTTGTCAAGTTTTAATGCTTGCAAAATTGAAGTGCATTCTTGCACTGAAACATTGTGTGCGATGAAGGGTTTCTTTTCCAAGTAACTGTAAATTTGACTTTTAGCAAAAGCATAAGTATTAGCAAAAGTTTGAGTTGTTTCATTAAGTACTTTTGACGTTTTTGTTCACATTTGGCTATCATTCATCCCCTAAATGTATTAATTAGGACTGAAAAGGGATTACTAGAGAAAGTAGAAAAAAGTTTTAATGCTTTTGCTGGAAAGTTTTTTGCAAAAGGTACTTAATGAAAATTGTCGTGAAGATTTTGGGACGACAATATTACAGTTTTAATCCAGAAGCTTAATGATTTTTATTGCTGGAAACATACTGGTAGTAGTTAATAATATTTTTTTTAAACAAATTAAGATAAAAAATGTAATAGCTATTTGTTTTTAAAAATTATTCACAATAGGAGGTAACTTAGAGTGCTTTTCGTATTATAAAATCATTGATACATGCAAAGAGATTTTAATTAGCTATCGAATTGTACAATGTGAATTCGTTGTTTTCCTTTTCAGTTATCTCACTATTTTTTTAATAATTTGTTATGAAGTAACAAGTTTTAATGCTTGCAAAATTGAAACATATTTTTGTATTTAAACATTTTATTTAAAAAAAGAACCATGAAGGATTTTTTAAATTAAGCAACAGCAAAGATCATATTATACAGCTGTTGAAGTTGTGATGTTTGGAATGAGTTTACAAATTTTTGCAAAAAGCAATCATTTTATTGATAGCTTGATGTGTATAAGTTCATAAGTTAGATCGATAAAATAAGTTAATAGCTGCTAGTTTGTTGATTGGAAGGAAAGATGTGATTTCCTACATGTTTACTAAATTTATAAATTCCAACTTTTTGTTGCCTTTCATTTTGTTTACTCATGTCTGGGAGTTTATTTTATTCTATCTGTGATATTTTCATTTTTTAACCTACTTTTTGATATCTGTATCACTTTGTACTGATTAATGCTAGTGCTGATTTATTGATTTATTTTAACCAGAATTGTGATAAGTATGATTAAGAGTTTTTCATTTTAATTTACAAGTATTTAAGATTGTTTATGCTTACATTTAATTGGTACTGATTTGAAATTGGCAAATAATTAATCAGTTTTGAATTGCAATCATTGCTACAAATCGCAAACTGAATTGGTGAAGTTCAATTTATATGATTATGGTTGGGAAAAGAAATGCAGCAATTAGTATAAAGTGTAATGATTTTCTCAAGTAATGTTACGTAAATGTAAGTGGCAAGTTTGCTAAAAACTTCACTCTGTCATCTCACTGTTTTTAGAGCGTAAAAGAAAGAGAAGAAATTTTATAATAATTTTGGAGTTTTCAGAGGTCTTCTAAGATTGTGTCTTGCATTTTTCTGCCCTTTGGACCATTCTTTTCGCCAGTGTTAATTGTTGCATTTTAGTAAGGTTTGAGATATTTTATTGCAAAAACAGCACAAATAGTATATTACTATTATATTAACTATTTGCTAAATGCTATGGTAGTGGTAGTGAATCGAGAAAATGCTTTTTTCTAAAACTGAAATATGAGGAATACGAGTTAACTAACTAACTGAAGTAATTATATATGTGAGTGCGAAAAAAGCTGCAACGAGTATTCCATTAAAAGTTAATGATAGCTATGCAATGAAAAGTATTTATATCTTTTTTTGATTCGATTTATCTTTTCCTGCCGCTTGTTAAATGCTAATTGAATTTAGTTGACAGTTTTTGTCCTTCTTTGACTAGACACTAGCTAGAAGAATGTGAAAGTTGTTATTAGCATTTTGATTAATTCTGCTTGATTTTGTTTGTCAAATAGAAATTGGACATATTCATTGTATTTGCTTGTTACTTTATGAAAATTAAGTCTATATTGAAGCTGAATGCATTATATTTTTACGTTTCTATAAGAACCATCGTAAAGCTCAAAGAATCATGTCTTTTTTTAATGCTTTTGTATATAATCATTCTAAAATCCAAATTCCGAACATATTTACTTCTTTCAGGAGCTTCATTTCTTTTATTAATCGAACTTTTTGATATTAATTTTTCCTTTTTTCATATAGAAGTTTTTTTAATGCACTTTGTGGAGAGACAGATAATTTCCAGTGTTCAGTTCATTTTTTTTAGATTGTGGTTTTTTTCATAAGTGCTAAAAGCGCTTTTCATTATGATTATGATTATCTATAATGCTACATTGATGAGGCTTGAATTGTTGATTGCCTATTTTTAGTATTAAGCCCTATTCTTTATAAGACTTTAATTTGCAGATTTAATATGCTTTTAAAGTTTCAACTATATTTTGAAATTTTTATATATACTGCTTTCGCTGCTAACCAATCACTTTTATAATTTAATATTGTTGTTGCCGAAGTAATTGGTTAATATAAACTTGCAAAACTTGATAATCTGTTGATTTGCATATAGTAGTAGCAAGTCGAATAGATTAATTTTCATTTGAGTTTTTCAGTAAATTTTATAGCAGCAAGAAATATGGTCATTTTTTAACTCTCACATCATAAAGCCACACATTAAGGCAGAAGAATAAATATTCCTGTGAATTCCAAGTATTTAATTTTAATCAATTTTATTCAAGCAGAATGTATGAAAAGGTTTGCAGCTACTCGGGCATTAATTAGAAACTCTGCAAATGATTGAGTTTTTATTTTTTGAAATTTTTCATTAGATATTTGAGTAGTTTCTGCATTCTTACTTCGTCGTGTTGGATGATAACATTTTATTTCGCTCTTTTTATTTTGAATTTTCGGAGTTTACTACTATTTTCGAACAGCACAAGAATAAGTTTCATTCTGAATATTTGGTTTCAGAATTCTTTTCTGATTTTTTAGAAATTTCATTGCAAAATATAACAAGACCTGATTAGAAGTGCAAAGTATATTGGTTAGGGGAAAAAATTAGAAACTAATTCGTCATTAGTTAAAAATTATATCAAAACGATAAAACTATGAAGACAAGATATTCAAATAAATACAGAGGAGTGTCATAGTTCATTTTGTTGCGCATTTGTTTTTTAGCATGATCAGAAGTAGTTGCTAAGGTAATAACTTCTATTCTCAATGAATTGCTGACATATAAGCTCAAATCCAGTTTCTTAGATGTTTCGTCTTTCATTTGCCTTGCCTTAGTTACTTTTGTGGCTTCATTTCCTTTTCGTTATTTAAACTGAAATTCGCAGTTTGTGATATATCAATTTGTATTATTTCTTAAGCATCAGAAATCAAATGTTACATTATTCGAAATCATTAAAAGCAATTCGAACGCGCACAGGATCACTTTATCAGAATGCTAAACGACGTCTGGCCAGATCAGTACGAAATCGTCGATCATATGCAAGGAAAAGGGTTTGTTTATTTTTATACTGATGGTTATCAGGGTTGTTTTGTGGTCAGAGAATTTGCATTTAAGTGATTTTCTATTAAACCATTTTTGTTTTATTTGTTTGCTAGCAAAATTGATAAGGATTTTTATATTGCTGATAATACTGACTTTGAGATTTTGATGTGCAGTTAAAACATTTCGAATTCTGTATTTTAGATGTGTATTTATATAATAAGAAATAAAACCAAAAATTGCTTTTAACGCTTATATGAATTAGAGCAGTTCCAGGAAATCATTATTTTTGGTAAATCGCACTAAAAAAGTTTTGTTTTTCATTTTCTGAATTACATTATATAGGAATTTAAGTTCACAGCAAGTTGTTGTTCTTAGTGTCAAAAGTAAAATCAAGTTTTTAGATCAATATAACTAATAGAAACAATAAATTAATGACAGTAACGCTTTAATTACTAATTTTAGCGTCTACTGTTCTTTATTGGTAGTTGTGGCGTAATGATAGAAGAGGTGAGGGTTTAATAATAGTTGTTATATAATGATTTCAGATCAAGCATGCAAAGAGTATGATGAAAAATTGTTTATATTATAAATAATTAGCTTATTTCAAAGTTACATGAAAAGTGTATATATGTAGACATATCAAGTAAAGTTATCTCTCGCAGCTTTATGCTCATAAGTTAGTACAATTTGCACATTTTTATGCACTAATTGGTTTTTATCTTTTCGTGAAAATGCATATGCAGTAAGTTTTCTTCAGATCATTTATAACTCAAAGTGAGTGGTCAGTATTGTGAAAAATAATTATTACAGTTTTCCTTTTGATTTTTGTCTGCTTTATTGTTTCAAGTGGAAAGTGATATATGATTTGTACTCAAATTATTTCCGCTTGATTTTTAAGTAATAGCAAAAATAGTTCAATATATTTTTTATTTGAAATAGAATTAATGAAAAATTGTATAATAAAATACAAGAAGAAGGTTATAAGATTTTATGTATTTTCATTGGAAAAACAAATTTGTAACTCTGTACGAATATAGTTGAAGGAGAGTAATGTAAAGTTATTGCAAATTAATTTTTTGCCATGCTATCACTGCTGTTAACAAAAATCTTCTGTAATCTTTGCTATTGTTTTGTACGAAAATAGTCACTGCTTGACATTAACATCAAAATGCGCCATGAAATTCTATCCATTGTAGCACAACTTTTGTGCAATTATTTCCATCATCACTTTATATTCTTATAACTCTTTTTTATAAAAATTTAGTGAAGAAAAAAAGAATAAGTTTATTTTTAGTGTACAATATTTTTTTTTTATTTTTAGGGCCATAATGAAGGTTGTATAGCCGTTGATGATTTCAAAGCAACTGAGAAAGGACAACTTTCCGTCGTCAAGGGACAGCGACTTGAGGTTAAATTTCACGTATCTGCCTACGTGATGAATGAACACCCACCTGCATATTTTCTTTGTTACATCCAATTAAACTTAATTATTCATTCTAATCTTTATCATTTGACTTTTCACAGTTAAATAATTGACATTACTGAACATATGTTTTTTTGTTATCAGAAGACTTTTAAGGTTCATATTTTGCTGGCAACTAGAAAATAACTTTAACAACTGGAATATCTCCTTCTTTTGTGTTATTTTTCTCTATTTTTTGATCCTTTATTTGAGTATTTTTTTCTGGTAATCGTAACATAATTTGTATTTTCCTATTTCTTTATTAATACACTTTAATCTTTTATTTTTTTAATACCCAATCCTTAATTGAAACTGATTTATCGCAACTTGATGAAAAAGAAGTCATTTTATATTGAAAGTAATTTTTTCAAAAAAGCAACTTCCAGTGACGTTTAATAGTTGATCATTTTGAGAATAATTTTGAAAAGCATTGTTTGCTATTTAACGTAGTTCGCCACTTCCTTTTTATTACTTGTTTTATTGTTGATTGATTATAAAGTGAATTTTATTTGATATCTTAGGTGGTAGAATATTATGCAGATGCTCCAGAATGGGTGCTTGTTTCAATTACTTGGGAAAATGGTGAGCAGCAACAAGGACTTGTTCCCTGCTCAGTAATTTCATCTGTCGAACCGACAGGTTAGTTTTTTATCTGCGAATATAAATGTGTTCGTGTTCTTTTTATTCTCTTTCAGTGTCCAACTGATAAGATTCAGCGTAAAAGATATTGCTCGAAAATTATTATGCAGTTTGGTTATTTAGTGGACCAGTTTCATGCTTTTGTAAAATTTACTTCTAAAACATTTGAATAACTGTAATAAAGAAAGTCATCTGTTAATTGGTGGAATTATGCAAATTCTGATAATAATGCATTTTTATTCTTATACTAACTATTAATTACTCATTTACGATAAGGATGCTTTTCTGTAATTGCGCTAATATTTCTATATACGTTCAAGTTTTTTTCGCTTACTTTCTACCTCTTTGTTTATTGTAGCAATTTTTTCGTTTTATAGAGTATTCATTGACATTTGGGATCATTAGAATTTTAAGATACCTTAATACTAATGATATAGTTTTTTGAAAATCGTATTAATTTATCAAGTCTTAAGTAAATTCATTCGACTTCAGTATGAACAGTAGCAGTCAAGATAACTTTAGCTGCCTAATACTGCACCAAACAAAGCGTTATGCAAGCAAGCTTACGCTACGAGTATTATAATATCAATATATTCGCTAATAATATGATATTTTTTGCATATCCTCATGTCATAGCAAGCTATATTTTTCCAATACTGCACAGACTTTTAGATAGTTTAGCCTTGTTCAAGTTTCCGATTACATATACGTCAATTTTTATGCATTTGAGAATAAATAAAGCGCATATTCTTCAAGAAAAGGAGGAGAGTAAATAAGATGGGATAAAACTGTTTTCAACTTATTGATTGATTAGTTTTCAGTAAGCGTAAAATGAGAAGTAACTGGCACATTGCCTTTTTTCTTATAACTTTTTCGATTCATATGCATTAGAGTGAAGATTTGAGACTACTTCTGTTTTGCCTTTACTTCTCCTGTTTCATTTCGAATTTTGTTGCTAAGAATGTGGAAAGCGATGTGAGATGATAATGCTAAAATGTGAAATTTTTTCAAATGAGAGAAGATTGTTGCATCTACTTGCAAGATATGGTAGCGGAAATCCGCATAATATTCATCCATACACCCTCTCAGTCCTATCATTTTCATATTTTGCTTATTTATTCTTACTTGAAAGCTTGCATTTCATTCTTTATCATCATCACCATCATCACTTTATGCGCTTTCGCCACTTATATTTATATATATATATATATATATATATATATATAT